TAGGCAGAGCTGTGGGGTTAATGATTATTGCATGAACAGACGTGTTTGTGATGCAGTGGAGGTTAGGGCGATAAAGCCAATAAAATCCTGTCAGGTTTCAGGTGGATGACCCTGCTCAGGTCTGATGCTGACTCTGGAGCATTGTGCTGCAGATGAAGGGCGGCGCCGTCTGAGGCGCTGGCAGCGGTTTGCCGCAGAGCCTCGAGCATTACTGTGACAGTCCTTCTATCAGACTTTTATGATTCCATCTCTCTAATTGTGTTTAATCGCCTTTACTGCTCACATAAATATTATCCATCTGTAATAACTGTTAACGCCGTTATTCCCGCCTGCGACAGCTCTAAATCTCACAAACAGCTGCTCTCGACCTTTTTTCACCTTCTGTCCCGCACGCCGCCCCCCTCCAAACCACCCCCCAGCTCCATGTGCGCTCAACTGGCTGCTAATGAGGGGCTGACATGTTTATCCTGGAGGTCAAACGGCCCAATGATGGAGGTCACGACCCCGACGTGCTGACCTCTGACCTGCCAGCACGTGTCGATCCTTCCTGTGTTTGTAACACCCGCTGCTGCCACCGCTGCCAGCGAGCTCACACATCAGAGGGGTGGGGGGAGGGGTCTATGTGACCTCTGACCTCCCAAAAGTTGCATAAGTTTGCGTGTGTCTGTTCTGTGTGTTCACAGCGAGCCGAAGACCGTTAATTTGAAAAGCTCCACTTGTTGAGGAGCTTCCTGGGCTCATCTTTAATTAATGGTTCAGTTATAGTTGAGACTTTTTAAAAGGTCTCTGCTGTAACTGCCCAGAGTTGCTTCGGCATGTAGCCAGGAATCAAACCGCCAACCTTTTCGTGAGCAGACGACCTGCTGTAGCTCCACCGTCTCATTTTCCCGATGTGTTCCAGGCTTGAACATCTGGGACGTTTAATAACAATCCAGATCCTGCAGTGCGGCTTTAGCAGTCTGCTGATATTGAGTCCAGTGGGTCGTCTGTACTGTGAGGACCAGACTGCTAATAAAATCAATACAACCAAATAATCACTCATTTAGAATTTATTAGTAAAATAAACTGATCAGAATGATGTCTTTCACTGGCTGTCCCTGCTGTGATGGGAGCTCAGTGTGGGAGTCTTTCCTCCTTTCCCTGCTCCGAGTGCGCCTCCTCGCACACCGAGTGGAGCAGAAAGAATCCAAATACGAATCCATCGTGTTACCGTAGTGATGCACACGAGCGTCCCAGACCGTGCTGCACCGAGCGCAGGTGTCAGCGGCGTTTTACAGTCGAGTAGACGACAGTTACACCACAAACAGGCGTGAAACTGCTGACTACTTCCTGTTAGCTGTGCTTGCTCTAATTAGGGTGGCGTGAGTGGACACAGGCAGCGAGCGAGTGGCTTTCAGAGTCCGGACTGGACCAAAACCTGGAGACCTGTGTGAGTCTAAGGCTGCAGTTTAAAGTGGATATAAGCAAAGGTTGTCATGTGATAACTGACTGCAGCCAACCAATCGCTTGCACCTCCAGGCTGCTAACACAGGAGACACTGAGCGGACGCGCGCAGAGGAGGCCTCCTGCCAGCAGCAGGTGGAGGTGAAGGTGGAGTTCAACTGGACGTTCAACTCTCGTCTCTTTGAAGTCTCTGCTGCGCCGCACTCTGAGGATTAAGGAAGAAATGGTTTGGCGCACGCTGCTGTTTCTACGGGCAACAATGTTGGCCCCCACCCCAAGTCAGCGTGACGGGGATGAATTTAATTACCCACTCGGGCTGCCCCGACAGACCCCACCTCCGGCCCCACGAGCCACAAGGTCAGCCCGCCTTCACACAGCTTTTAATCGATGCCGTCGCTCCAAAAAAGCTTGGTCGTCTTAAACAAGAGGCCGGGCGAATTCAAGGATTCAAAGCCCTCACAGCTCTGCGTGGTGAAAGTTTTTCAAAATAAAAGCTAAATTTAGATGATTTTGAAGAGCTGCCACTGTTCTCGCCGCAAATGATCCCCCTCTGTGTTTGTGACGGTGGCGAGCGGCTGCTCCGCTCAAACAAAAACCTCACTGAGGGTTTCATGCTCGCTGCCAAGAATCAGAGCCTTTCCCCTCAAAATAAAACCGCGACCGCAGCCGCCTCCAGACTCAAGGAGGCTCAGTGTGAAGCTGCACAGCTGATCAGCGAGCGCACAGTGGAAACATACACAGGCGAGGCGATGTGGACGGAGGTGTGGAGAATGGGCGCTCTCTCTGGGCTCACAGAGGCTTCAGTCTGAGAGAGGAAATGATTGTAATTAAGCTTCAGGGATGGAGCTCTTTCAGAGCACTCGGCTCGGGCCGTTTGTGCACGATGACGGATCACAGCTGAGAGCTTACCGCCACAAAAACACGAGACTGAGGCAAAACCTGCCAAAACAGCTGTTTCTACTGATGTCTGCCTCAAAAAATCCACTTCAAGTCCCGAAAACAAAAGAAAGAAGGGAGGAAAGAATTCATCCAGTCACAACTTTAACCAGGAAATCAGAGTCAAGGAAATTAGGATTTTAAAGCTGAATTTTTCTCCTTTTCTCCTAAATGCACCTGCAGTTCAAACTGTGTTTCAGCCACCGAACGTAAAAACTGAACTCTGAAATTCACCAGAATTTAACCTGACCTGAGAAATGTTTGGCTGGAAACGGCTGTTTTCACTCAGGCTCTGAGGCCTCTGGAAATCAATCCGCTGCTGGAGGAATCTGAAAGTGGGCCTGGCGGATAAATCTGAACTCAGGAGCTCCAACAAACTTAGAACAAGCTCGGTGCCAAATATTCAAACCGGCTGCCAAACATCTCCTCTGCGTGCCTCTGCCACCGCTCGCTGCTGCTCTCTAGAATATTCCAGCCAGCCAAATTATTTTCCCGTAGAATCAGTCGGAAATCGGGAACGTGCTGAGCAATCGCTCCGGAGATAATTGTGTTTTTTTCTGTGCCAGCTTCACCCCAAAAGCACGCCGAGCTGCTCTGCTCACGCCGGCGTCTCCGAGTTTCCTTTCACTTGTGCTTTGGTGACGAAAAGACGAGTGTCTGCAGGAGATAACACGCTGATCTGCTTTAAAACTGAGAGCAGGGTGTGCTTTCATCCCCAGACAAACAGAGCAAATTCTATCAGCTCACAACTAAACAATCTCATATTTAAACCTCTCAGGAATGCAAACAGAGCAGATGTCATCCCGCAAACTGTGCACAAAGCACAAAATGTAATATCTGTGCATTCAAGGCTGGAAAACTCTGATATTTGTTAGGTCGTGTCACCAAGTGGAAGGGAAATGGACTCCCAACGTGTGGTTAACGTTGTGAAAGGGACTTACTTTAGCTTTAGTCCTAAACTAAGACGATACTGAAATTTTAACAGCAGCACTCAGGAGACTAACCGTGGTCTCCTGAGTGAAAGTCCTCAGATATAACACCACCAATCGGCTCTCTGGGTTTACATCATGCATCCATAAACAGGAGTGTTGGGGGGGAAAAAAAGTCGATACAGAACAGGACTATTAGGATATTATACAGGAACACCAAATATCTTTTTTTTTTAATAAATTAAAATACTACCAACAAGAGGACTCATCTAATGTAAGTTTAGCTAAGCAAACGGAAATCAGCTAAACCTAAAAACAATAACATGACATGCTCAGCTCGACAAAGCTTACAGCTCAGTCACACGAGTAACGATGGGACGGAGACAGATCTGTGGTATCAGGTAATCAGTGTTTTCTGAGACACACACTGCATGTAGTTGCCAACTTGACCCCATTAACTGGCTGACTGACTGCAGACTGACTGCAGACTGACTGCAGACTGATTGCAGACTGATTTTCTTGTGGCAACATTTGCAGCCGGTTTTAGTGACACTGTTGGTTTGCTTGACAAGCTTTTTGCAGCAAACTGATGTGAGACATGATTGTCTTCATATATCATTATCTACCATAAGAGACTCACAAAGTTTAACTTTGAGGACATTTGAAAAAAGGTGATAAATAAAAAGTAAATGTAATACTGTAATACTCTGTGTATTACAACATGTTAAAAGTAGTATTAATATCACAGTAATATCTAGTGTCATGAGTGAAATATTGTGATAATATCATTCTGTGGGGTGATTCTACCTTTAGCCATAAAGTAAAAGCTCACCTACGATTGTAGCTAATCAGCTGCAGCCTGCCTGCAAGTCGCTTAGAAACCCACCTACACTTTAAGTCCTGCTTCATATTGGACCTGAATTACTGGGTTTTCACGTGATGTTGGAATAATCGGAAACATAAATTTCCAACTGGGGAAATCCATATAAATCTGCTCAAAATGAAACAACAACTTAAAATAAAAGTGTTACTGCTGCAGAGAGATCCCAGAGCAGATACCACCCAACCGCCGCAAGGCGTGCCCTCTGAAACATGTGCTGGGCCTGCACAGCTGGGGCACATTTAGCTGTGAGACTAGGCCGTTTCATCAAAGAACAGCTTCCAGAGATGCATTTATTAATCAGCTAAAGGCTTCCTTCAACAAACAAGTTCATCTTTGAAAGCTGTGAGAGTCAGACCAAAGCAGCGATCAGGTGGGCTAAGCCAAAAATAGCACAGCATTAACGCTCCGAGTGCAGACAGGAAATCCGCCGTCCCATGTGGATCCATGTGAAGGGACTCGAGGACAAGCTAGCTACCTGCAAAGTCTGACATCTCTCCAAGTTTTTCCCACAATAAAACCATGTAAATTTCATTTCACAGAGATCATTTCTGACTTCCACTAAAGGAAGACCACTGCTAGGTGTCGGCAGCTAAATGCAGTTTAACTTACATGACAGACACGTTCTTTCTTCATTAACCAAACTGATGCTGCCACAGAAATACCAAACATGTCCACAGCAAACTCAGAGAAACCAGCATCCAGCACCTGAAGTGATCTGATGATCCGCCAGCAGGACCGCCATTTTCTCGCAGCATCTCTCTCTCACAAACACACACACACACATCAGCAGCAGGAGAGGCGGGGCTTACCTGCATGCACGAAGTAGGCCAGGTAGAGATCCAGCTCCTTGACTGAAACTCCAATGTGATGCGGCTGCACGCACAGGCTGGGGTTCGAACACTGAGGAGACTTTACCAGCCTCTCCCCGTCAGTACTTTCGAGGGGAATCCCTTTGAATAAAATCACCATGACCAGGTCCAGCCGCCACACTTTGTCCGCCTGGCGCAGGCAGTCGATCCTCCTCATCTTGCCCTTCTGGTCGGGGTTGGACAGCACGCAGCACGGCGCCTTCTTCCCCGTCACCGTCAGCACAAAGTCCTCCCTGAACTCGGGCCGGATGTCCTTGCGCAACTTGGCCAGGAGGCGAGACGCCCACTTCTGTTTGACTTCGGGCTTCTCACTGAGCAGCTCGTCCTTCACGGCGCGCTCCTCCTCCTTGGACATGCGCTTCTCGTGCTTCTTGAAGTACTTCCTCTTACGGGCCTGAAGGTTGAACCATGTGTATGCGAAGGCCCGGACGTGGGGCAGCAGTGCTTCAATAAAAGGATGGAATTCATCCTGCGGGACAGAGATGGGAGACGCGGTGAGCGGCAGGTGACATGTCACGTGGCCACATACAGCATTTAAACATTATAAGAAACATGACGACTGAAGCACCGGCTAATGAGCATGTTACAGACGCAGCTTTAAGTGAAGCTTTTCGTGTTGTGTTTGGGTGACTGTTAAAACTCAGACCTCCAAAAACAAAGCGTCTGTCTCAGCTTCATAATACCGCGAAGGATAATAAGAAACATGCAGGTGTCTGCTGGTTAAAGCAGGAAACAGCCTTTTGCACTGACATCGACCCATCCATCCTCCCCGACCTCCACCCTGAGCCTCCCCTGTCTGTCTGTCGATTCCTTCCTTTTGCTGTCATCCCAAATACTGCAGTAGAGAGCTTCACATAAACGTACTCGCGTCGACCAGAGAGGTTAACAACGGGTTCCCTTCAGCTGGTGTGAATTTAGAGAAATGATTTTATAAAGCAGGACTGGAGATCAATTTAACAAAATTCTCTGAATGTCTCTTTGTGCATCGTTCTAGGACATTTTTCACAAAATTTGGCTTTAACGACATGCAGTCAAAAAGTCTGCAGGGAGGAATGTAGTGAGGCTGAGGAGCTGTTAAAAACCTCTTAATTATGCGTTTTAAAAATATAACTTTTCAGACGTGAATGTTTGTATTTGGAACATAATCAAGTATCTGCTCCACAGAAAAAAATAATAGAATATTTCTCCAAATTTTAATTTGCAAATCGGGAATGATGGACGGGAATAAGAAAAGAAACAAGAAAACAAGGAAATACTGTAAGAAGTAAAAGTGGAAGGAAAATAAGAAGGAAATTATAGAGGAGGGAATAAAAATTTGAAAAGGAAAATCAGAAGAAAAGTAGAAAATTTAAAAGCAGAGTTCAGACTGCAGCTTTAAATTCAAACCTGTCCTCGACTCTGTGACATGAAAAAAAAAAAAACACACCGCCGAGCAAGCGGCGGGAAGCCCAGCGCAGGGCAGCGTTCCTGCACGCGCTCCGAGCGCACCGCGAGGGGGATTACAGCTGCATTAAAGGTGCATTATGTGGCTTTTGGCTGGCGAGCATAGTGCAGTTAACAAGGTGGGAATATGGTTAGACAGCACGTCGTGGATTAGACCCAATATGGGGCGGGTTACACCTGCTCTGTGCCGGCTTTCTGCAGGCCGACTAAGGAGCTGCAAACCACAGCGTGCAAACATGAGAGGAGGAGGCTCAGCTTGGCCGCCTCAGGTTTCAGGGAGCAAAGCTGCACGAAGCACACGGAGCCCACACCTCCTCCTCCCGTCTGCCAACACAATAAAGATGAGAAAGCCTCCAAAACCCAGAGACCTCTGACGCACAGCGGGCCCAGCTAGGACTAACCCAGGCTGCAGATGTGGCCACATGTGGTCCGCACTTTGATCTCGGTGAGGTGAGCTGCTCCAGCTCTTGATTTTTAACAGTTGAATTTTATGAAAGATCATTTTTAGACGCAGCTTTCTCAGATCTGTTCGTTTCGTGGTTTCAAATTTTACCTGCTGTAAAATCTCAGAGCTTCAGTAACGACAGTATCCTGCCTCACAGTCACAAATAGGCCAACATTTTCTCACTCAACCTCCTCAAACACAAGCAACCATCCACCAAGCCAGCAGCAGCCAGTTCAGGGCTGTGATTGGTTCATGAATCCTAGCAAAAACAACTTTTCCTTCCGGACTAAAACACATTCGAGTAAAAAGTGCAAATGTGCCGTGAACTGGGTGAGTGCGTGGCTTCGTCCTCAAACGAGCAGTGGATTCAAACCCAGCGTCTTTGTACTAACGGCGATAATGAGCCCAGGAATAAACAGACGCCGTTTTTAGATTTAAGAAAATCACCGTCAGGTAAAAGTAATCCGAGTACAGGACGTGTGGCTGCTTGACATGTTGCGATGAAATGACTACGGTCACATACTGAACCAAAAAACAAAAACACATGCACCAAAATTTCAGCTTTTAACAAGCACATTTCACCCTCGATGGCCAGGAACCAATCAGGAGTCAACAGGAAGTTAAGGCCGTGACATTTAGATGTTATCCCAGAAAACAGGTTTTACTGCAGTTTCTAATTTATTCGTTTTTTACTGTTTTTTATTAGCATCGAGCTAATTTAAGAGCAGCGTGTGATTAAACTCCACAGGCTGAAAGACTTACTTTATTTACAACACATCAGCTGATTTTTATTATTGTCTGCTATTTACAGTATAAAGGTGTGTGCGGGGCTGGTCAGAGGCAGGGTGGCAGGTTCAGATGTGAGCTAATTAAACAGGTGAAATCAAAGTGTCCAAGAGCACGGATGAAAAACTAACTACTGCTGTGCTGCTTCTCGGCGTTTGGACTCTCATCTGTGGTGCCGCTCAGAGAAAACCTGTGATTTCACTTTGTTTCCCTCTAAACACAGACGGCTATGAAGGAAAACAGCAGCAACAGCATGGAAGGAGGAAAACATCGTCCCGGGGAAGCAGACGGACAGAAAACGTCTTCATGGAACATTTTTGATTCGGACCAAACCCCTCGGAGGCCCAGAGCACCTCCTCCTCCTCAGCCACGTACTGAAAAAGAAAAAAGCTCTATTCATAGATCAAAGAGGCTCGCACAGATCTCGATACGTGTGAATGCCTCCGACCGGGTGGCATGTGGAGGCCGGCTCACAGCTGTGCGCGAGCCCCACAAACCCGCTTTCTTTCTTCAGAGGCGAGCTGCTTCACAGGAGCTCGAGCTGCGGAGTCCCTGAAAGCTGCAGCGCATTATTATCATCATTGTCCTGAACCGAGTCTGATCCAAGAGTCCACCTGTAGCAGCTCTTTGACTCTCTCCTGCCTCAGTGACAAGCTCCTGCAGCACTGCATGTTTACAAGCAGCCGTCACAGCTGATTTCAGAGCGCGCACACATGTCCGAGTGAACCAGGATGTCCAGGGGTCTGACCCGATTCTCCTCGAGACCCAGAGACTGTGTGTTTCAGTGCAGCATGCAGGAAACTGTTAATTACATTCATTTTAAAACTGAAAGTTTCCAATATATCTGCACTCATTCAGAGCAGAGTGCTTAGAAAGGAAAAAGTGGGAAGAGTGGAATTGTGACACACACCCCAGCCCCTCCACGCATCATCTCAGTTTAAATCACAATAAATACAACGACTCTTTTATCCTACAGGAAACCATCACACTGAACCAACGTCGGCTTCTTGTCTGCAGCTCGAAACTCATTGGTTCCCTCTGCAAACACAAACATGTTTTGTGGGATTTTTTCCAATAAGCAGGATGGAAATCTGGATTTTTGGGCCCTAGTTTCAGCGGGGGATTAATATGTTTGTAGGATCGGTGCACACTGGGTGCTCAACATTAACACTCAAACTGTTTGGTTTCTTAAAAGAAGAGTTGGGGTTGGGCTGCAGGTTCGGGGTTAAATGTATAGAAACCAAAGTTTTCCAGCTGGGAGTCAGAGCTGTGTTAAACCTGGAGCTCGGAGCGCTGCCTCCAAAGAGGAAACTGTATCTCCAGGCTGTGCATCAGAGCACCAGCTGCACGCCTTTTTTTCATACAACACTGCTCGCCCTCCCTTGTCAGAGGCTGAATACAGCACATTGTTTCTGGTTGGAGACGATCCAGGCGAGCGGCTTCGTCTCCAAAGCGCCTCCAGCAGCTCCGCGGCCGACCTGCAGCCGCTCTCCGAGCCCGGCTTTCACCGCAGGACGGCCTTTTGTCTGCGAGCGTCCTCGGGCGCTTATTAGGACGCAGAGCGGCTGCTGGACGGGCGATGTGTTCTCTCTCTCTCTCACACACACACACACACACACACACACACACACATTCCACAGTGGATCTGCAGCTCGCTGGCTCTGGATGTTCGCCGGAGCCACATACCAACATTCCTCACAGCCCAGTGCAACGTTTCAGCTTCCTGAGCCGCTCACACCGCCTCCACCACCGCTTCCTCCACTGCCTCTTCACACTCCGCCCGCTGCAAACAAAATCCCACTTAACAAGTCACTCACTCTCAGATTGAGCCTGAAAACAGGCCGGCATAATCCCTCCTGTTCTCAGGAATGTTTGCAGTCCTCAGACTGAATAATCCTGCGGCACTCCTCGCAGAACTCCTCCCGCTGTGTTTCTGGGGTTTTTAGAGGTTTACTTCAGTCTCTCTGCTGCAAATATTTTAAGCCACAAAACAAAGAAAATTCAGACGTTCAGCGTGTCGGGAAAATCACCGGCAGGCTGAAGCCAGGCATCGGCGCTCCCCACAGCCTCATGTCCATGTTTGGATGGATTTGAATGAGTGAAACTAGTGCTGAGAGTTAAATCTGTGCACTTTGTTAGTGAGCGTGTTATAAATCAGACTCATTAAAAATCAAACGACACGCTGATCGATTTGTTTGAGCTGCAGGGAATTTTTCAGCTTCCTTGAAACATGAAATTCCCAGGTTGGAGGTAATCTGGGTGCCGTTCCCGCATCCTGAAGCTTTCTCCTTGTAATTTGACTTTTTTGGTTTGAGTTGGTTTGTGCTGAAGCGGCCAGCTGCGCTACAGCTCAGCGCTGAATGAAAGGCCGCCCAGCCGAAGTGGGCTTCTTTCTTCGTCTCTCTCTCGGCCTTTTTTCCCTGCAAGGGGAGAGCAAGCATGGGCCGAGGCTCGCGTCCCCCCCTGCACCTCGGTGACAGATGTAATGGGCACCGAGTAACAACAACCCTCTGAATCATAGTCATTTAGAGGCGCAATAACCCTAATCCCCCCCACTGCCACACTGAGGGAATTGTCGGCCTGTCGTCTAAGGCCCGGCGGAGCTGCCGACGCTCCGCTGCGAGCGCCCGGGGACCGACAGGAAGGTTCTCACCAATCAGAGGGTTCGATCTCCCTCATACCAACTCAAAGACAGCACGTTCCTATTAAACCAGCCACACACATACACTCATACACATACACATTCCTGCTTTATGTTTTGGGGATCTGATGGTGTTGGATCCTCTTGACGCAGGTTTGGGAAAGTCCAGCTGATCGGACCCTTTAACTCTGACTTTACTGATAAACACACAAAAATATTTAGATTTTTATATTTTAAAAACGATCAAAAAAATCTGCTGCTTTTTTGTTTTTATTCTTTTTAAATAATCGATGTGGAACTACACACAGATCTGAGCTGTTTTTCTTTAAAAGAAGTTTAAACGTTCGTCCGATCCACCGCGGGGAAATATACAAATTTAATCACACCGTAAATGACCAAAACATTTCGTGTGAAGCGCCCTCCCGTGGCCGGTGGGCAAAAACAAGCCATTTACATCACCTCCGAACAAATTTATCCCAAAGAATTATGAAATTTCAGATTCAGACTGAACACAGACAAAACTTTTAATAATAATTAATTTTCACATTTAAATTTTGATTTTCCCCTGTTTCTCTCTCTCTCCCTCTCACACACACAGACACACACAGTTGTCAGAATATTTCCCTGAAACAAAATAAAAAGCTGAATACTGAGATGAATCACACACACGTTCACACTGAAACATTTTCCTCTGAGCAGGATTTGTAAAAACTGACAGTCTGCTGTTTATTGGTTTTACTGCCCGGTAATCAGATTACATGTAAAGCTGCTGCAGATTCACCCAAAAATAAAACCAGAGTCCGAGAACGAAGGCGACAGGGCAAACACGAGCACGCCTCACGTTCATTCACAGCCACGATCAATAAATCCTCTGATGAAACTGATCATCTAGAACTAAACCTGCGTTTTCTCTGCGCCTCATACACCAGAGGTACTGTTTGGAGCCTGAAACACGTCAAGATAATTCTACTCTCACCTCTGACCCTGAACGCAACCCCGCAAGAGCGAGCGGCTGGCGGCATACAGCCCCGCAGAGCCCCGCACAGCCCCGCGCAGATCGGCGGCGGGACTCAGCGCGCTCAGCCCGGGCACGGAGCCGCGGGCAGAGCCGCCGGAGCTCCAAGCGGCGTGTGCCGCGCGCACAGCCGCGCGCACGGCCACGGACAAAGTGCGTGAAAAGTGCAGAAAGTGTGACTGACCTGCGTGAGGCACAGCGGAGAGTACATGTCCGTCCTCCGTCCGCCGCCCGCGAGCTGCGCTGCGTTTATGAGAGCGGCTGCGCGTGCGCGGGGCTCTTACTGGAACTCCGGCCCCGCGTGTGTGCGTGCGTGCGTGCGCGAGGAGCAGCCGCCGAACTTTGACCCCGCCGTCTCCGCTCCGCAGCCCGACACCATCCCCGGTAACGGCGCCGAGAGCGCGCTCACAGCTCCGCGCGGCCGCGGCGCGAGGCGGCCCCCGGCAGCATGTCCGTCCGCCCTGCGGTGCGCTGTGGCCGGCTTGCGGCGCTGAGGCTGCTCGGTGCGGCGGGCACGCGGAGAGAGCGCGCCCGCTCCGGCCTGAGCTCCGGGACCTCCGGACTGCAGCGTCCGCGCGCTCACACCCGCTCCTCGAGCCTCCGCTGCGTGCGTGCGTGCGTGCGCGCGCGGATGAGCTGCTGGATGCTCCTCGCGTGAACCCGACCACGGACTCACTGATCGGTATCACCGGGACGGGCTGAAAACTTGGAGGCTCACGTGACCGGCGAAAACAGCGCGGGCGGGGGGGCGGGGGCAGTTTGGGTCGGAACTCCGAGCTGCAGCTGCGCAGTTCTGCTCCCTTATTCTGCCCCGGGGTCTGCCCGCACAGGGGGCAGGGGCACGGCACTCAGGGGCCCCGGGCAAAACACACACACAACACACACGAATAATGAACACAAAGACACAAAAGTACACAGAAATACACACGAAGACACACAAAGAAATACACAGAAATAATAAAAATAAACACAAATAATACACAAACACACAAATAAATATGAACACACACAAATAATAAACACAAAGACACAAGCACACAGAAATAATATAAATAAACACAAATGCACATAAATGAATACAAATACACACAACTAAATACAAATAATATGCAAACACAAAAATAAATAGAAATGATACAAACACACAAATACACACAAACAGTCCGCACAATTACACAGAAATAATACAAATAAACACAAATAAATACAAGTAAATGCAAATAGACACAAATAAATACAAATAAAAACAATAAAAATAAAAACAAACCGCTGAAATTTTTTCTTCTCCTCCAGACAGCAGGAGCCTCCAAAGCCCTCCTCAAATTATTATTATTATTATTATTATTACTATTATTATGAGGAGAAATGAGCTCAGCTCTACTTTACATAACACACACACGCACACACTTATATAATGTGTGTGTGATCAGATATGTTGCCAATCAGCTGTTCTTTATGTAAAGCTCTGTGACCTCCGACCTGTTTTCTGAGTTGAGTGTAAACAGCTGTTGACCTTCATCTTTTTTTTTTTATTTCGTGTTTGACTTGTTTTTAGATATTTTTGTGTTTTGCTCCCACAGATGTTCAGTTATTGTTTCCCGCAGTAGAAATGAGGAAAACAGACAAATGGACGAGTATGGACCCGCCCTCTTCACCACATGTGTGCATCTTCATTTTCAGCATCAAGCTGCTCTGAGATCCATCACACACCCGGCACCACCACCACTTCCACCATCCTCTGCTTCACACTGGCTCTGGATCAGCCGCCATCAGAAACAACTGATTCCTGAAAGCTCGTCCGTTTGCGGCTCCGTGCCTCTGTGCGCTGCAGGCTCTACCTGTTCCACCTGAACAGGAAGAAGGATGATGACACACAGAACCGCTTTGAAAGGTTAAAGGTCAGATCCTGCCGTTTACTGTGAGGAGCGTCTGGGGTGATCTGATAAAATATCTGAAAAGCTGTTTGTGATGCTAAAGCCTCACACCTGCAGGAAGTTCACAGGTCTGAAGGAAGGCGGCCGGAGTCACCTGAGGCACTCAGAGAGTCTGTAAACGGCTTTACGGGGATATTAGTCTGTGGAGATCCTGCAGGAGCATCTACAAGATTCAATAAAGCCTCCATAAAGCTGCAGACGCTCCGACGGTCCCGACAGTACCATCAAACCGACGCTGAATCACCACGGAGACGCACAGACCCACCATAAACCCATACAGCAGTCCAATCAGCACCAGCCTCCACCTGTCCCCACACAGCCCCTCAGGTGACCAACCTGCAGGAACATCAGTGGGTGGAGCCACAACAGGACCTTCTGTTTCACCAGAGTTAAACACAACAACACAAGAACGAACCAATCAGATCACACCTCATAATCATCGTCATCGCCATCAACATCATCAGCAGCAGAAATTCACTCAGGTTATCTTCTTTGAACTCAGACACACACGCACGGTTCTTTTATCATCCAATCAGAGGACGCTGCGTCACGACAAGTCTGTCTCAGATGAAACATCACAGCTGTAATCAATCAATAATCAATCATTCTGATCTGATCGTCAGAGTCCACGAAGGATAAAAGCAGGTTTGGATTACTCAGATTACAGATTACACGCCGTATGCACCATTACAAAGGTGAGTCAGGTATGACCACAAAGACTATTATAAATCAATAATTAGGACAGAAAGGGGTTGGTCTGGCTAACTGAGACACTTCAGCGGCTCCTTCGTCAGGCTGTTTTTATTTGTTTGTTTGTTTGTTGTGAGGAACTCTCGTGAAGTCAGGATCACTGTATATATGGAAGTGTTTTGTGATCCCAAGATGTTTCCAGCTCAGTGCTGGTGGCTGGTGAAGCAGGTGGGAGATGTGCTGACGTCACTTCCTTCTGCAGGCTCATGTAATCAATGGTCTCAGAGGATGTGGAGGAAGACGTCTGCCTAGTGAAGCAGCTGCGTGCTCCCGCGGGCTGGACCCGAGCGGCGAGTCGTCCGAGGTTAATGAACAGAAGCTTTTATGTTAATAGAAGGAGCGGCGCCGTGATTTAACAAGACAATCTGCACATTTACTTTGGCTCAAACACGTCTGAGGCTGCTCGTTATCGGGCGGCCAAACAGCGGCTCTGAATGAAGGTCGGCACACAGAGACGGTAATTAGATTAGAGCAATTAAACCAGCTTTTTGATATGACCAATAATCTTAATGTGGAATTCACAGCAGGACATCCTGCTCCCGTTTCATCGTTTCCAGCAGATGCGCCATGATCTGAGCTCCAGCTTCAGGTTTAACAAGCGTTCACGTTCCCTCGCTCCGAGCCTCACCTTATGTCAACAAGAACTCATCCATCAGGCCTCACATCCTGAACTACAGGCAGATGATCAGATGGACCAATCGCAGATGCTCAGAACTTTTATTTGTTCCTCAGGACATTATTCAAAACCTGAGTTCGCCTCACGGTTCCTGCTCTCTCAGTCTGACTCATTAAGCATCCTGAGAAGCATCAGTCCTGTTCCACCAGCCAGCACCTCGGAGCCAAAGAATCACATGTAGAATCACTCCTGATAGCGACCATGAAGGCGACCGCAGCGAAGAGCAGATCCACTTTCACCGAAGGAGAGAAAAGCATCACCATGAACCAATCAAAGACTCAAATGTTCCACTTTCTCAGTCTTTTCCTGCACAGATTCTGCAGCACAAAGCTGCCACCATGGAGCGCACACAGCATTCATAAAGAGCACGTCACTCACCTGAAAACACCTGGGCAAATCAGGTATGCCCTCACCTGAAGGGACAACAGGTGACTGAACTATGGGAGGAAGACGGTGCTTTCTGCCTTTCTAATTCTTCATAGCTTTTTAATTATTATTTAAAAGAGAGGACAAGTTTTTTTAAACCTTCCAAAGAGCACCTCAGACAGCACAGGTGTAATCACCTGTCAGACAATCAGAAGCAGAAGAGGGCGGAGCTTTAAGTGACCACATGTGATGAAGTGATGATCGGATGTTTAAGGTGCAAGTGAACGCCTGCTGAGTGTCACAGGGCTCATATTTCTCTGCCTCATCAGGCAGCAGAGGCAGAAAAGCAGCCTGAGGCGCCATCTAGAGGAGACTCACCGACACTACAGCAGCCTGTAGCCTGTGTGTGTTTGTTTGTGTGTGTATGAATTCTTACTATCTTGGTGGGGACCAAAATCTGAAATTCACTATACTGGTGGGGACCAACGGCCCTTGTGGAGACCAAAGTCCAGGTCCCCACAGGGTTGAAGGCATTTTTCACACTCAAAATGTGGTTTTAGTGTCAGGGTTACAATTGGGTTATGGTTAGGTTTAGGGTTAGGGTTAGGGTTAGGCATTCATTTTTGATGGTTAGGGTAAGCGGCTAGGGAAAACATCATGTCAATGGGATGTCCCCACAAGGATAGCAAACCAGACATGTATGTGTGTGAGTGTGTGTGAGAGTGTGTGTGTGTGTGTGTGTGTGTGTATGTATATGAATATCTGTGTGTGTTCATTTTACAGGATCTAAGGGAGAAACTTTGATAAATTCTCTGATTCAACAAAAGCTGAAAATCTGATTTTGATTCGTTCATTTTAGTAAATAAAAAGTAAAAACATTGGAGACAAAAACAAAAGAGTAAAACTTCAAAGCCTGAAATAAATTTCCACAACACCAGTAGTAAAAATATTCATTTGAAGTCTTTTGGGAGGGTGCATGAAGCAGTCTGACCCCACCTGCTTCTGCCAATCAGTGGTGATTTCCTGCAGTGACATTTTTTTGGACGCCACTGAGCTGCCATTTCAGTAAAAAGTTGTGGAACTACTTCTGTCCTAACGGAACAACAGAAGGAAGCGAGCTGGAACGTTCCGCCAGCGCCTTCCACGATTTCGGACGGCATTTTCAAGAAAACGTTTGAAATGATAGAAATGTCCCTCGGGGAACGTTCCTGGAAGGTTAAAGGTCAAACGACCACAGAACGATAGGCCTGCAGCGCTCGGAGAATTTGATGTCACAGGGATGTTTGTGACGACAGGACGCTCCCCTGAATGTCAGCGCAGCGTTGTGAAGTGCTGGGTGGTTGTCGTGGTAACAGATTACAACCCGTGTAACCAGGGCCGAGACTCCAATTACATTTCCACCCCTCAGAGAGCGGCCAATCAGCCGATCGGCTCCTTCATCTTTAACGGAGCGCTGTTTAAATAAAGATTCAGTTTTTTGTCTGTTTGTTTCTGCAGTGCAACGCAAGACTGGAACGGGTCAGAAGATGATGGGGGGACGCCACCAACCAGCCAATCAGACGTGAGCAGAAATCCAAAAACTCGACATGGACGTCACCATGGAGACGGGCTGATGTCGGTGGCAGTTTGGGCTAAAAAATACAAAGTGTGTGTTTCTCTGTGTGTGTGAGTGAGTGTTTGTGTGCATGTGTGTGTCTGTGAGTGAGTATGTGTGCATGTGTGTGCCTGTGTGTGTGATGGGGGGACGGGGGCTCCTCCACCTGCTCCCACTGAGCTGCTGCCAGGCTGGAGACCAGCCAACAGAACCAGGCCTGAAACCAAGCCGCAGCTAAGCTCGCACAACCAGAGAGAGAGGGAGGAAAACAAGGGAGGAGGGGGAGAAGGACAGAAGGGGAGAGGAAGCACAGAGCGATGGGGAGGAAGAATAAGGTCAGAAAAGCAAGAAGAGGAGGAGGAGGGATGCTTCTCATTTGTTTTCTTTGTGGATCTGAGACGTTGAAGCAGCTGATC